TGCGATATTAGGGGCACCTTCCTGGGGTCCTTTTTAATAAGGGAATCCTACTATTTGGGGGTCTATGTTAGTAATAGGGTCCCCTGTTTTCATAAACCCCCAGGTGGTCAGCTGGTCTGCTTTGGAAGCAACATCTTTGGCCAGAGCGAGGTTCCGGAAGACCTGGGCCCAGTTTTGGCAGTCTCCGCGGGCCATCGCCACACATGTGCAGTGAAGGAAGATGGCCATCTGGCCTGCTTTGGCGACAACTCGCACGGCCAGTGCGATGTCCCGGAGGACTTGGGGCCAGTTTTGGGCGTCGTGGCAGGCTTCAGCCACACCTGCGCGCTGAGGAGCGACGGTGAGCTTGTCTGCTTTGGAAGCAACCTCCAGGGGCAGTGCGACGTCCCAGCAAACTTGGGATCCCTCTTCGTCTAGCCGGCTGTGCTAGGGGGTACGAACCCCAAAAGCCCTAAACCCCTAAGCCCTACACCTAGGCAGGTGTGCCCAACCCTGAACCCTGAACCCTGAACCCTGAAGCCTAAACCCTAAACCCTGAACCCTAAACCCTAAACCCTAAACCCAACAAACAGACCTCTACACCCGAAGCCCGCGCACCGGGAAGCTTGGGAGCATGGGCCGCGCCCAAAAGAAGCCTCGAAGGGCGTTCCGGAGGGTGCAGCCGTTCAAGGCTTGGGGATGTGGGGGTGATAGTTTTCTGGTTTGTTGTTTTAGGGGTTTCGGTTGGGATTTTAGCGTTTTAGGGTTCTTCAGCGAATCTGGTGATGCCCGGCGTGAGATTTAAGGCTTAGGCAGAGAGACTGGAGCCCTAAAGCAACAGGGAGAGACACAGCGACAGAGAGATGTTTGGGGTCTACGGCGCAGCGCTTTTCGGCTCTAAAGGGTTTGGGCTTCTTGTTTCTTGGGGACCCTAAGGCTTAACTCTCGGTTGACATCCCCAAAGTCGATTTATTTCAGGGCCCTATGCAACCCTAGGGTTTAGGGGTTTAGGGTTTAGGGTTTAGGGTTTAGGGTTACCCTCCGCTTTTGAGGAGAGGTGTAAGGATCACCAGGGTTTCGGGTTGAGGGTTTAAAGTTTAGGGCTTTAGGGGTGCCAGAAAGGGAGCTCTGGAGAACCCAGGTCATGGGCGCTTTTGGAGAAAGATACATGCAGCCCGCAATCCTGAACCCTCTAAAGAGTCAGAGCTGCCCGAACCGAGAACCCAACAACCCGAATCAGGCCTTGAGGTTTTGAGTCCGAGCCCTAAACTTTAGGGTTTAGGGTTTAGGGTTTGGGGGTTTAGGGGTTTAGGGTTTAGGGGTTTAGGGAACTCTACACCCCAAACCCAAGCAAAGGAAAGCTACAGAACCCTTTCTGGTCAGATTTGTGAAGCTTCTTGTCTGACACGAAGAGCTGATGTCCTGGGGAACGGTACTTGCAGGTCCATGGGTAGTTTTTAAGTGGGGTTATACGTCGGGTAACTAGGAATTATAGCTGGTTATAACCTTACTTAGGGTACGCATGACCCCACTTATAACTGCACATGAACCTTCAACTAGCCCTAAACTAAACCCGAAACCCTACTTCTATCCATAATCACTCCTCCGACAAGCTCTTGTCCGGGGGGAGGTAGACGGCCCTAAACCCTAAACCCTAAACCCTAAACCCTAAACCCTAAACCCTAAACCCTAAACCCTAAAACCGCAGTGCAGGGGCGAGGCAGGGTGTCCAAACCGCCCTAAACCCTCGACCTGATCAACCCAGAACTGCCCCAAAGCCCGGAAACTTCATGGTTTAGGGTTGCAAGCTAAGGGTTTAGGGTTTAGGGTTTAGGTTTTAGGGTTTAGGGTTTAGGGTGAGGCCCGAAAGAAGAAGAAGAAGAAGAAGAAGAAGAAGAAGAAGAAGAAGAAGAAGAAGAAGAAGAAGAAGAAGAGACCCAGGATTCGGGATGATGGTGGCGGCCTCTGCCAGCGCCTCGCGCGCGTCGTGGACGATCCGGACGAAGGCCTTGCTAGAGTTTAGGAGCTTAGGGTTTAGGGTTTAGGGTTAGGGTTTAGGGTCTTTAGGGTTTTAGGGCTTCCAGGGGTTTGAGGAGTTTAGGGGTTTCAGGCGTTTGTGTCTCAGGCTAGCGCGGGTTTGAAAAGGGGGGGGCAAAAGAGGCTTCAGTAGTTTCAGGGGTCCACTTGCGGCTGCAAAAAAGCAGGGGTTGAAGGTTTAGGTTTAGGAGGCAGACGTCTCATGGCACAAAGCCCTAATTGAGCAGTTTTTCCGCGGCTTCCAAGTAGTTGCGACTGCCGATGTTTCTACCCTCTAGAAATGACAAGCCTGGCTCTGCCTGCAGCATTTTGCTCATTCAATCCTAAACCCTTAACGCTATGAACCTGAGGCTTCGGAAATCTTATGAACTTGGCCTTGGGCCTCAACCCAATACCCTGTATAGTTCTACACTTGCACAAAGTTATTGGCTGTAATTATACTCTATATATATATATGTATATATATATATATGTAGATATGAGGACCTAACTATGTTGGCTATGTATTAATGAAAGATACATTTCGTGCCATATATGTATCTACATATATAAGCGTATGTCGGTGGATTAGTAATATGCGCAACTTCATCTGAGTATATGTGCTCATTCATTCATATCCGGACACTACTTTCTTGTAGTCATGTATCTGTATGTACAACTTAACCGAGTTAGGCAGCATGTATGTCATTTTGTATAGTGTGCCGCCTCTGCATCCTACCGCCCGCGAGCAGGAGCATGAGAGACGGACTTAGGGTATGGAGGTGCTACACAGGTAAGTGTTCAAAGAAGGAGCCTCAGCACTAGGGGTTTAGGGTTTAGGGTTTAGGGTTTAGGCATCGCAGGGTTCAACTCCCCAAAAAACTGGCGCAGAGGCCGGGGAGATGTCTTCTTTGTCGTGGGGGGCAAGACATATGGAGCCCTTCGTGGGGTGGGGCGCTGATTCTGGATTTAGGGTATGGGGTATAGGGTTGAGGGTTGAGTGTTTCGGGCAGTCGGCAAGTCCAGCTTCACAAAGGGTGTAGGTGTCTACGTGGCTATATGCAGAATGTGGTAGCGGAATCTGTTGCACCGGACTGGGATCTGGATTCTAGGTTTCCTGAGCCTTATACAACGCTTACTTGGATGGCAACTGGTTGGCAGGAAGTGGAGTTTGTAGACCGTCGCCGAGATTCACATCAGACCTCTAAGAACGAGAAGTCCTTATTCGTCGTCAGTTTTCACAGTATGTACCCTGCGCCAGGATAGGTTGATAACCTTTTGCGCATCCTGAACCCTAGTTACTTGGAGTTGTGTGTAGTCATCCGTGGGATACTAGGATAGCCAAAATTGCAATTGGTTATAGACGTGTTTCGGGTACTTCCAGCCCGACTTACAGCTACCCATGAACTTTCAAGTAACCCTAACCCCTAAAGCCGACTTTTATAGCTACCCATGAACCTTAAAGTAAACGAGCTCATGAAAGGCTTATGACATGACCATCAAGCTGCGGGGGGTGGGATGTGTTGAGGGTTTTAGGGTTTAGTGTTTTTAGGCATCAAAGAGTCCCAGCTGCAAAAAAGTGTTTTTAGGGAAACCAGGGCTTAGGGGCTTGTATGTACAACTGAGAGAGAGAGAGAGAGAGAGATGTAGAGAGAGGGAATGCGACTGGCGTTGTGGACATATGCCCGGGGCGACTTGGTTTAGGGCTGTGTGTTCAGAATTCAGGGTTGGGATAATACTAACAGTCCTTAATAGGGATCTCATTAGGGGGTACTATAATCCCTATTAAGGACCGTTAGTATAAGGGGGAACATCCCAACCCTAAACCCTAAACCCTAAACCCTAAACCCTAAACCCTAAACCCTAAACCCTAAGCCCTAAGCCCTAAGCCCTAAACCCTAAACCCTAAACCCTAAACCCTAAACCCAAGTTTAGAGTTCAGGGCCTTCATCAGTGAGAGCCGAATCCCTCGAAGCTTGCCTCCCCGAAGTTCTCGGGGTCAGGGGATGACAATGGGTTTGAATTTGCGGTGTTTCCGATTTCAGGGGGTACCTTATTATTGGGGTCCTTACTTTCAAAAAATCCTACTATTAAGGGGCCCCCTGTTGTTCGTAAACCTCCAATTTTTGAACCCACGCCTCACCGACAACACCTCCAGCAGAACCTAAACCCTAAACCCTACCTAAAGCCTAAACCCTAAACCCTAAACCCTAAACCCTAAACCCTAAACCCTAAAGGTCCTTGGCTTGCACAGCAGCTTCTTCCAGCGAATGCTCTTCGGAGATTTCCAGGAGGCGCCCCTTGTGTCAAGCGAGGGGGTTTTAATGGGAAGGTGGCCTGGGGTTTAGGGTTTAGGGTTTAGGGCTTAGGGTTTCGGGCTTAGGGCTTAGGGCTTAGGGCTTAGGGATTTAGGGTTTAGGGATTTAGGGTTTAGGGCTTAGGGTTTAGGGATTTAGGGTTAAGGGTTTAGGGTTTAGGGCTTAGGGTTTAGGTATTTAGGGTTTAGGGTAGCGCCAGACTGCCGAGACCCTTACACTGGTTGGGCTGCGGGCTTCAGGGTGTAGAGCAGTGCCGGCAAGTGGCTGATCTCACTAGAGCCAGTGCCATTGACGCCTGAGCTTGAGGCTTGTGCGAGGGGTGTTTTTTTTTTCCTACTATTTGCTTAAGAACCACCCCCAAAAATGAGAAAAACAATTCTGCCGTATAAGGGGAATATAGGGATTGCTTTTAACTTTTTTGGGTTCTTAAGCAAATAGTAGTTTGAAACATCCGACCTAACCTCCGAAGAACTTGTTTCGACACACTGTGTTTACCATAGTCAGATCTTGTTGTGCAGAGGCAAATCGCAGCAAGCAGGGCTGTGGCTCTTCAAATGGTTTTCCTGCAGTGCGTCGATCCCTATCTGGCCCTGCGGCTCAAGGACCCTGTATCTCACTGCCTGTGGGTTTCGGAGTTCGCACGTGCTTGGTGGCCTCCTTGGTGGCCTCCTTTGTAGTTTACCAGCAATGGCTTTTTCAGGCTTTGCGGCGCAGCCGGTTCAGCTCGACCCGAGGTTTCGCTACGCCGCTGCGCCGGAGACTATCGTTATGCAACCGGAGATGACCATGACTTGGTGGATGCCATCGGGTTACACATACCAGGACAAAGCGCAGACGCAGCAGCAGGTGCTGAAACTGCAGGAGCTCATTCGCTTCGAGGGCCCCACCGAGCCCAAAGCAGATGCCCTGGAGGTTTCGCTCAACGTGATAGACAGCGACATCGCCTGGGAACCCAAAAAGGATGTGGGGGAGGTACTCTTCACATTGTCACAGATCGCAGGGACTTGCGAGGTGGCATCGCTTGTGTCCGGTCTCCACTACATGGCGAAGCTTTCGGAGCAAGATGCCTATGGCGTCATGGGAGGACTGGAGAATGTGTTACATGACCCACGCCTTGCCAACGTTCTCTTGGTGTTCAGGTCAAAGGCCCACGGGGTTACAACTTCACGCGCCATCATGCGAGCCATTTGGGCCTTGGGCAAGCTTGGAGTCAGAGGCAAGGAAGTGCAGGGCATCATCGCCGAGCTCGCACAAACCTCCCTGCCAATCATCAGCCAGTTTTCGTGCCAGGAGCTTTCAAACACGCTTTGGGGCCTGGCCAGGTTGAGCGAGAGCTTATACGGGCTGATGCCGGAAGGAACTCAGCTCGCATACTCGGTGATGATGCAGAGCACGACGCGGCTGGCCCAGTTCAGCACACAGTGCCTCACCAACAGCCTTTGGGCTGTGGCGAAGCTGGGGCTCAAGGGCCCGGAAGTGAAATCCTTCTGCAACTTGCTAGCCCAGTGGTGCCCTTTACCCATTTTTTTTTTGGGTTCTGGCTTCCCTAAAGAAACTAGCCAACCCCAAAAAAGGGTGCCCGTGTTCTGATATGGAACCCTAAACCCTAAACCCTAAGCCCTAAGCCCTAAACCCTAAACCCTGAGCCCCTAAAACTGGGCTACCAAGGCAATGAGTGCCTCTTTTACATTAAGGAGGTGATGTTCCGGGAGATGTCACCACAGGGTCTGGCCAACAGCCTCTGGGCCTGTGCCAAGCTCCAGTCCGAACCCCGGGCGGCGGACGCCCCGTTGGACAAGGAGGCAACTTAGGGATATTAGGGTTTAGGGTTTAGGGTACTGCGGTGCGGGCCTCAGTGGGTGGTGGGTTTGAGGGGACTCCGGACAGGCTTCAGAGGTCCGTGTTAAAAAAGGGTTTAGGGTACTATGATTTGTAAGAAGCAGCTAAAAGATTAGAATTTGGCTGTAGAGGCAGTGAAGCTCTTCTGCAGAGATGCGGCGCGGCGGACAAGAGCCTCCGAAAACCTGCTGGAGATGTTCTTCCCGCAGGAGCTCTCCATGGCGCTGTGGGCCATGGCAACTTGGTAGCCCGGTGGTACCCCTTTTCCCTTTTTTTAAAGTTCTGGGTTCCCTTTTAAAGCAACCAACCAAAAACAAGTGCCCTTATTATAATATGGTTCCTGTTCCCTTTTAAAGTAGCCAAACAAAAAAGAAGGGTACCCTTGTTTTAATATGGTTGCTGGGCTACTAAGGCCAAGTTGATGGGGCGCCGGCCCCGCTTCAAGTCGAAGGACGACTGCTTCCAGGACGTGTGGAGGTTCGCCGAGTCTGTAGCTTGGTGGCCCTTTTGGCGCCCCTTTGCCCTTCTTTTTGGGTTCAAGGTCCCCTTTTGTTTTTTAAAGAACTAACCCCCCAAAAAAGGGGTGCCCTTATTAAATAATATGGTTACTGGGCTACTAAGCTACCATTTGCTTAAGAACCCACCAAAAGAATAAAAATGGTAATCATCCCTACATTGCCCTTAATAAAGGAAGAGCCTCTCATATTTTCTGGGGGGAACCTTAAGCACTTAGTGTAGTAAGGTCGCTTCCGAAGCTGCAAGCCGCATCTGCGACTTCAGCCCCCAGGGCGTGTCGACCATCGCCTGGTCGCTGGCGACGCTCGATGTGATGAATGGCGCGGAGGCCCCTTGGTAGCCCCAGTGGTGCCCTTTTTTTTACCCCTTTTTTGGGGGTTCTGGGTTCCCCTATTTAAAAAAGTAACCAACCCCAAAAAACAGGGGTAAAAAGTAACCAACCCCCCCCCAAAAAAAAGGGTGCCCCAAAGATCATAAGATGGTGGCTGGGCTGCCCAAGGCCTTGTATTTCTTCGAAGTCGCTGCCCAAGTCGCCACGCTGAATATCAAGGCATACCCCCCGCAGGCCATCGCGAACTGCTGCTGGGCCTTCAACCGCCTCAGCCAGAAGGGCTACGCCATCGAGTACTTCGGCAGAGTGGCCGCCGACGAAGCCCTAAGAAGGATCCTTAGTCATGGTTGGGTACCGTTTTAAGTTTTTTTAAAGGGTACTTAAACCCAATGAGGAAGCAACATTTAAACTCTTAAGGGTACTTGAACCCAATAAGGAATAAACCTTTAAATTTTTAGTCTTATCCCAACCATGAACTAACCCTAAACCCTAAATCCTAAACCCTAAACCCTAAACCCTAAACCCTAAACCCTAAACCAAGAAGGATCGATGAGTTCTCATGGCAGGACTGCTCCGGCATTGTCAGCGCGCTGATGAACACCACCCCCCAGAGCAGCATCTCGGTAGGCCCTGGGGACATTCAAACCCTAAACCCTAAACCCTAAACCCTAAACCCTAAACCCTAAACCCTAAACCCTAAACCTTAAGAGGATTATAGTCCAGGAATACTTTTCAGAGGGTCCTAAGGGCCATCTGAGGCATGGAGGTGCGTCTGCTCGCCGAGGAGGTGGTTATTCGAGCGAGAAGCCACTGCAAGAAGATCGGCACCTTAGTAGCTGAGTGAGTACATGAAAGACTGAAGGTGTACACTTTTTGGGGGCCTCATGAACTCAGCAACTAAGGCACTCAGGCACTCCTGAACATCGCTCTCTCGGGTGTGAGGTTGAAGGTCGCCCTGGAGGCCACTTTGTCACAGTGGGGGTAACATTTTACACATCTTTTAAGGGTACGTAAACTCAATAAGGAATGGACATTTTGCATTTTTAAAATTATTCCAACCATGAACTAGGTCATGACGCCCTTGGTGTATGAAATCGGCCAAGCATTCGATGGCCACATGCACAACTTGAACGAAATCGATTTGAGGCAATGGGAGGAAGTGCAGCGCTACTGTCACATTCACGTTCCTGGCTCCACCGCCGGCAAGAGTCGGGAGTGGAAAAGTGGCCGGGGACGCCGTGGCAAGTAAGATTCTGAGGCTTCCGCACTGGGCATGATCTCTTCAGACAGGTGAAGCTTATCTCGTCTGCTCTGATCTACGTACCTTAGCTCTTCACAGCGCAGCAGTTCTTGTCCCCTAGAGTATCGAAGCCCAGGAAAGCTGAAAATGCCCGAAGCTGTCCCGGTTTCGAGAGTGTCACCATATGGGACAGGGTGTGCGCAAGGGCACTTTGCTGGATGCGGATGGGTACTGATAGGTATTTTTGTGAAGAGCCTGCAGATAGTAGACAAGCACCCTGTGCCCTTGCCGATGGAATCGTCGAACGGCCGTGGTGTTCCGGCTCTGCGGTCAAGAGAATAGCAGACAGCACGTCGGTCATCATTGTAACGGTTAGCGGAGGCGCAGAAGAAACGACACAAGCGAATGGCATGCGGTGCATGTGTCAGACTTGAAGTTAGGTATGAAGTCGTGGAAGTAAATCCGTTAGCCGCTTAGCCCCTTGTGTTGCTTGACTTGCGTCACCTAGATTTTCTTGAAGAACTGGTGAGAGTTTGTCCAAAGGTGCAGGTATACCTCGCACATTGCATGCCAATTTGAGTTGAGCTTTCCAGTGGGTGTGCACGAGGCATATCGGGAGTGAGTAGCTTGTTCCAGACCATGCTGCCCAGAGCCTGATGCTAGCTAACCCTGCAAACCCAAGCTAAAAGCGCCAGCGTGCCCGGCTGCATGCGGGTTGCCAGTGCCACTTCACTTTGCACCTTTTGCATGCTATGCAAGCTGCAAGTGGAAATCGCGCAGTGCTGTAGGAGCAAGCCTCCGCTAGAACTGTGCCATGCCAGGACTAGCTGTTAATTATCGTGCAGAATCGTGGCCATTCGTGGCTATCTAAACAGTCTTATGTGTGCTACCTGACTATCGAGACGCGCTCTTCCACACGTTCCTGCGCAGCAAGCACTTTTGCGCAATCGAGCTTGCATATCATGCCACAGAGGATATGAGGATGTAGCCGTGGAATTTGTTGCCCTGTACCAAGAGGTTGAGTCGGCAGCCTAGGCCTAAGCTTGACTTGTAGTATTGCGCAGAAAGAAGAACGGGGCAACAGAAACCACGTCAGCGAGGACTCGACCGTCTGAGTCTTTGCCTGCTTCGTGCGAGCCCCCCCTCCCGAGCTCGAAGCCCGAATGTGGGTCTGGTTACTTGTTGCGTGTTGTTCTGAAGTAGGTCTAGGACTGAGGAAGTGCTGTCAGATTCCAGGCCCCACCGCTGGCCAGAGTCGGGAGGCCAGAACTGGCCGGGGACGCCGTGGCAAGGTAAGATTCTGAGGCTTCCGCACTGGGCATGATCTCTTCAGACAAGTAAAGCTTATCTCGTCTGCTCTACGTACCTTCGCTCTTCACAGCGCAGCAGTTCTTGTCCCTGTAGAGTATCGAAGCCTAGGACAGCTGAAAAGGCCCGCGAGTGTCACCATATGGGACAGGGTGTGCGCAAGGCCACTCTGCTGGATGCGGATGGGTACTGATAGGTATTGTTGTGAAGAGCCTGCAGATAGTAGACAAGCACCCTGTGCCCTTGCCAATGGAATCGTCGAACGGCCGTTGTGCTCCGGCTCTGCGGTCAAGAGAATAACAGACAACACGTCGGTCATCATTGTAACGGTTAGCAGAGGCGCGGAAGAGACGACACAAGCGAGTGGGATGCGGTGCATGTGTCAGACTTGAAGTTGGGTATGAAGTCGTGTGTCTAAATCCGTTAGCCGCTCAGCCGCTTGTGTTGCTTGAGTTGCGTCACCTTCATTTTCTTGAAGAACTGGTGCGAGTTTGTCAAAAGGTGCAGGTATACTAGTCGCACCTTGCATGCCAATTTGAGTTGAGCTTTCCAGTGGGTGTGCACGAGGCATATCGGGAGTGAGTAGCTTGTTCCAGACCATGCTGCCCAGAGCCTGATGCTAGCTAACCCTGCAAACCCAAGCTAAAAGCGCCAGCGTGCCCGGCTGCATGCGGGTTGCCAGTGCCACTTCACTTTGCACCTTTTGCATGCTATGCAAGCTGCAAGTGGAAATCGCGCAGTGCTGTAGGAGCAAGCCTCCGCTAGAACTGTGCCATGCCAGGACTAGCTGTTAATTATCGTGCAGAATCGTGGCCATTCGTGGCTATCTAAACAGTCTTATGTGTGCTACCTGACTATCGAGACGCGCTCTTCCACACGTTCCTGCGCAGCAAGCACTTTTGCGCAATCGAGCTTGCATATCATGCCACAGAGGATATGAGGATGTAGCCGTGGAATTTGTTGCCCTGTACCAAGAGGTTGAGTCGGCAGCCTAGGCCTAAGCTTGACTTGTAGTATTGCGCAGAAAGAAGAACGGGGCAACAGAAACCACGTCAGCGAGGACTCGACCGTCTGAGTCTTTGCCTGCTTCGTGCGAGCCCCCCCTCCCGAGCTCGAAGCCCGAATGTGGGTCTGGTTACTTGTTGCGTGTTGTTCTGAAGTAGGTCTAGGACTGAGGAAGTGCTGTCAGATTCCAGGCCCCACCGCTGGCCAGAGTCGGGAGGCCAGAACTGGCCGGGGACGCCGTGGCAAGGTAAGATTCTGAGGCTTCCGCACTGGGCATGATCTCTTCAGACAAGTAAAGCTTATCTCGTCTGCTCTACGTACCTTCGCTCTTCACAGCGCAGCAGTTCTTGTCCCTGTAGAGTATCGAAGCCTAGGACAGCTGAAAAGGCCCGCGAGTGTCACCATATGGGACAGGGTGTGCGCAAGGGCACTCTGCTGGATGCGGACGGGTACTGATAGATATTTTTGTGAAGAGCCTGCAGATAGTAGACAAGCACCCTGTGCCCTTGCCGATGGAATCGTCGAACGGCCGTGGTGTTCCGGCTCTGCGGTCAAGAGAATAGAAGACAGCACGTCGGTCATCATTGTAACGGTTAGCGGAGGCGCAGAAGAAACGACACAAGCGAGTGGGATGCGGTGCATGTGTCAGACTTGAAGTTAGGTATGAAGTCGTGGAAGTAAATCCGTTAGCCGCTCAGCCGCTTGTGTTGCTTGAGTTGCGTCACCTAGATTTTCTTGAAGAACTGGTGAGAGTTTGTCAAAAGGTGCAGGTATACTAGTCGCACCTTGCATGCCAATTTGAGTTGAGCTTTCCAGTGGGTGTGCACGAGGCATATCGGGAGTGAGTAGCTTGTTCCAGACCATGCTGCCCAGAGCCTGATGCTAGCTAAGCTAACCCTGCAAGCCCAAGCTAAAAGCGCCAGCGTGCCCGGCTGCATGCGGGTTGCCAGTGCCACTTCACTTTGCACCTTTTGCATGCTATGCAAGCTGCAAGTGGAAATCGCGCAGTGCTGTAGGAGCAAGCCTCCGCTAGAACTGTGCCATGCCAGGACTAGCTGTTAATTATCGTGCAGAATCGTGGCCATTCGTGGCTATCTAAACAGTCTTATGTGTGCTACCTGACTATCGAGACGCGCTCTTCCACACGTTCCTGCGCAGCAAGCACTTTTGCGCAATCGAGCTTGCATATCATGCCACAGAGGATATGAGGATGTAGCCGTGGAATTTGTTGCCCTGTACCAAGAGGTTGAGTCGGCAGCCTAGGCCTAAGCTTGACTTGTAGTATTGCGCAGAAAGAAGAACGGGGCAACAGAAACCACGTCAGCGAGGACTCGACCGTCTGAGTCTTTGCCTGCTTCGTGCGAGCCCCCCCTCCCGAGCTCGAAGCCCGAATGTGGGTCTGGTTACTTGTTGCGTGTTGTTCTGAAGTAGGTCTAGGACTGAGGAAGTGCTGTCAGATTCCAGGCCCCACCGCTGGCCAGAGTCGGGAGGCCAGAACTGGCCGGGGACGCCGTGGCAAGGTAAGATTCTGAGGCTTCCGCACTGGGCATGATCTCTTCAGACAAGTAAAGCTTATCTCGTCTGCTCTACGTACCTTCGCTCTTCACAGCGCAGCAGTTCTTGTCCCTGTAGAGTATCGAAGCCCAGGACAGCTGAAAAGGCCCGCGAGTGTCACCATGTGGGACAGGGTGTGCGCAAGGGCACTCTGCTGGATGCGGATGGGTACTGATAGGTATTGTTGTGAAGAGCCTGCAGATAGAAGACAAGCACCCTGTGCCCTTGCCGATGGAATCGTCGAACGGCCGTTGTGCTCCGGCTCTGCGGTCAAGAGAATAACAGACAACACGTCGGTCATCATTGTAACGGTTAGCAGAGGCGCGGAAGAGACGACACAAGCGAATGGGATGCGGTGCATGTGTCAGACTTGAAGTTGGGTATGAAGTCGTGTGTCTAAATCCGTTAGCCGCTCAGCCGCTTGTGTTGCTTGAGTTGCGTCACCTACATTTTCTTGAAGAACTGGTGCGAGTTTGTCAAAAGGTGCAGGTATACTAGTCGCACCTTGCATGCCAATTTGAGTTGAGCTTTCCAGTGGGTGTGCACGAGGCATATCGGGAGTGAGTAACTTGTTCCAGACCATGCTGCCCAGAGCCTGATGCTAGCTAACCCTGCAAGCCCAAGCTAAAAGCGCCAGCGTGCCCGGCTGCATGCGGGTTGCCAGTGCCACTTCACTTTGCACCTTTTGCATGCTATGCAAGCTGCAAGTGGAAATCGCGCAGTGCTGTAGGAGCAAGCCTCCGCTAGAACTGTGCCATGCCAGGACTAGCTGTTAATCATCATGCAGAATCGTGGCCATTCGTGGCTATCTAAGCAGCGTTATGTGTGCTACCTGACTATCGAGACGCGCACTTCCACACGTTCCTGCGCAGCGAGCACATATCATGCCACAGAGGATATGAGGATGTAGCCGTGGAATTTGTTGCCCTGTCCCAAGAGGTTGGGTTGGCAGCCTAGGCCTAAGCTTGACTTGTACTATGGTGTATAATGATCTGAGAACAGGGCACAGAAATCACGTCAGCGAGGAGTGGACCGTCTGAGTCTTTGCCTGCTTCGTGCGAGTGCGAGAGTCGAAGCCTCAACCCCCCCTCCCGAGCTCCACGCCCGCGTGTTGTCCTGAAGTAGGTTTAGGGTTTAGGGTTTGGGGTTTGGGGTTTGGGGTTTGGGGTTTAACGTTTAGGGTTTAGGGCTACAGGTCTAGCCCGGCTGTTGGCAAACGTGGTCCCAATTGGACGAGTTGCCTCTAAGCCTAGTAGTAGAGTAGGTAACCTTTAACCTTTTTTGGTTAGTAGAATCCCCTTTTAAGCCAAAGGTTAACCTTTAGTTCCCCCAGGTTACTGGACAACTAAGGACCCTAAACCCTAAACCCTAAACCCATCAAGTCTAAGGCAAAGCCCAGCAAAGCCCACAATGCCCACAGGCGCAGACGAAGGAGCCCATCGTCCTTGCAGCTCGGCTTGGCGGCAACCAGAGAGCCCCAATACCCCTTATAATGAAGGAATATGCCTAACCCTAAACCCTAAACCCTAAACCCTTAAACTCTAAAGGGATCCTGAATATGATGTAAGGCCCATTCCTTCTTGAAGGGGTGTTTGGCTCTTTGGGCAGCCCTTCTTCGACCTATTTTCTGGCGGGCTCTTTCCCACTAACCCCCCAAAAAAATAGAAATGTTCTTCCTCATTAAGGGGTAATATAGGGATCATTTTTCAAATTCTTCCTCATGAAGGGGTTATGTTAGGGATCATTTTTAAAAGTTCTTTTGGGGTTCTTAAGCATATAGTAGTTTCCGATGTTGTTGTTCCACATCGTGTCCATCCTTGTTTTTTTGCTGCATGTCCGCTGGACCCTATGCATAAGCCCCATAGGCCTTAGGCCCTAAACCCCAGACCCTAACGCCCGAAGCTGTTCCAAAAACGGGAGCCCCGCTTGGGTCTTAGGGCTTGGGCGCCACGTTGGCTGCAGATCCGATCCAGGTCGAGGCGGTTTAGGGCTCATGATTCATACTTGGAGGTTCATGGGTAGCCATGTTTCGGGTGAAAAGTAGGGTAGCTATACCTGTAAGGGTACTTCTGACTTCTGACCCTACTTAGACCTACCCATGAACCTCCAAGTAGGGCCAATATCCTAAACCCTAAACCCTAAACCCGTGCGAGAGCCGAACCCTAAACCCTAAACCCTAAACCCTTCGGGGCTTGGCCCAGCTCAGGCGCAGTTCGACGAGTACGGGGCTTCCTTCCGCTCGCTCTTCGGCCTTTGGCTACATGGGGGGGTCTGCGAAAATAGGGGTGCCCTTTTTGGGTTTAGGGTTTCTTGGGTTAAGGGCTTCAGGGTTTAGGGTTTCAGGGTTTCAGGGTTTAAGGGTTTAAGGGTTGACAGGGATTCCATTTAACTTGTGGTATAAAAGGTGTGCCACCCAATTTCGGGAAATACCCGCAGCCCTTGGCGGGTTTGTTATGGGCTTCGGAGATGGTGTTGGGCGAGGGGCTCAGGGTCACCGGGAATCTTGGGTGTTACGAAAAGGAGGGACCCCTAGTAGAGACCCCCAAAAAGTAGGATTCCCTTACGCTAAGATCCCAATACTGTACCCCCAATTTCGGAAACCCCCTTCTAGAAGCATCTCAGCATCCTGCACGCTTGGTCTTGCGGCCCACGCCCTCTGGGTTTGTCATGCAGCAGCCGTAGACAGCCATGGCAAGCACGCAAGCAAAACCGTGCAGACGACCGGCCGATGAAGAAGGGGTTCCTGGCTACGCGGCCTGAAGGCAAAGCTCGCGAGCCTCGCAAGATTGCCCCGCCGGTCGCAGCTGCGGCAGAGGACCCTTGTCGCCCTCACGTGCACGCTCCCAAGTCATCATGCCCGGACTTGAGCAGCCTGCTTGGTTCTGCGAAGGTGCTCTTGGCTTCAGGGCATGTGTCTGCAGCCTCTCGAGTTGCGGATTGCGCCCGAAAGCTCAAAGAAGCCCATCCATCGCTGGCTGAAGAGGCATCGGTGCTTGAAGCTTGCGAGAAGAAAGAGAAAGAGGTGGGGGTTTACGAAAATAAGGGACCCCTGATATAGACCCCCAAATAGTAGGATCCCCTTATAATAAGGACCCCAAGAAGGTAACCCTAATATCGTAACCCTAAACCCTAAACCCTAAACCCCCTAAACCCTGAACCCTAAACCCTAAACCCCCACGCAAGCCCACAGGTGACCGTGCGAGCTCTCTCGCTGGTGGCCTGCAAGGGGCCTCCCATTGACGCCATGCTGGAGCTCTTGAGGCACGGCATTGAAGGAAGTGTCTGGGAGCCTTGGCAGCCCAGCGGTGCCCCTTTTTCCTGTCTCTTTTTTTGGTTCAAGGTTCAAGTATAAAGTGACCAGCCCACAAAAGGGTGCCCTTATTATGACACATATATATATATATATATATCTATTTATTTATTTAAGAATAAGAATAATAATAATAAATATGTATATGTATATTATTATTATTAACAATAATAATATGATTATGATTATTATTTATATAAGTATATACTGGGCTACCAAGGAGCAGATGCACCAGTCTTTGCAAGAAAGTCTTGGCCACTTTGGGTCGATGCTTGAGGAAGTTGGCCTGATTGGCAAAGAGAGCCTCTTGCTGCACACGCACCAGCAGCGAGACACCAAGCAGATCTGTGTTTTTGCGCCAAGGTGCGGGTGCGGAGGAGTTTGGGTCGACATACCCTGCTCATGCCCTGATGCTGCCGTGGCCGCAGCACGGGCTGCGGGAATGTCTGGCAGAGTTCTCAAGGATGGCAAGCAGGAGGATGATGCTGGTTACAACCAGAATCCAGAAACAGCAACTTGTGACCCGGGTGTCTGGCAAGTCGTGCAGAGTGCCGCATGGCCAGCGCGCGAGATGTTGTCGAGCGGCAACAAATGGGCTGCTCTGTGCAATGGCGACTGGGTAGAGATGGTTCCGCCTGGCGAAGACCATGCACGCGGCGCTCGCAGCAGCGTGCAGCGTGACTGGCCCCCAATTCGCTGTGCCGGCGAATTTCTTCAAGGGGCGGTACCTGTAGTAGCTGAGTGAGCACACTTTACACTTTTTCGGATACTATAATCCACGATAGAACTCAAAGTGTACAGTGTACACTTTTTTGGGGCTTATGAACTCAGCAACTCAGGTACCAAAGGTGTGCTTCGACGAAGCCCTGGGGCCCATAGCACAGCAGAATCCGGTGCTCGTAACCGGGGCGCACTTGCTGAGCCGTGCCGAGGAGCGGTGGCCTGGCAGCCCGGTGGTGCCCTAAACCCTAAACCCTAAACCCTAAACCCTTTTTGCTCCTTCTTAGGGTTCGAGGCTCCCTGATGAAGTAGCCAACCCCCCCATAGAAAGGGCATCCTGGTTACAGCACGGCTCCTGGCCGACCACTACTATTTGCTTAAGAACCCCCCCACCCCACCCCACCCCCCCCCCCCAACAAAAACAAAAAAGAACATGAAAGATCAGAATCTCATTATCTTGCCCTTGTAAGATCTTGCCCTTGTAAGGAAGAGCATTTTTCGTGTTTTGGGCGGGTTCTGAAGCAAAGAGTAGCCCTAAACCCTAGACCCTAAACCGAAGAACCAAAGTGGAACCTTCATCCTACCAGTCCTTTATAGGGATTCTAGTACCCCCCGATTATAACCCCCATTAAGGACTCTTAGTATAAGGGGGAACATCCCAAAAACAGTAGACCAAGGTGGAACTTAGAGGAGTAGGCCTAAACCCTAAACCCTAAACCCTAAACCCTAAACCCTAAACCCTAAACCCTAAACCCTAAACCCTAAACCCTAAACCCTAAACCCTAAACCTAAACCCCAGAACCAAGGTGGAACCTGGAGTTCCTCGAAGAGACCTCCCCGGATCCCAGCAGCCCTGAGGCGTCGCGCTTCTCCGTGTACCGCGCGCGAGAGCCGTCTCGGCGCTTCCGCGGCTTGCCCAGTAGAGCCCAGCTTGGTAACCCTGAACCCTGAACCCTAAACCCTAAACCCTAAACCCTTTTATTGCTGCTAGTCATCCTTATGGTTGATATTCACATTTGCTTCCTAAGTTGTTTTTTGGTTGGGCGGGTCTGGGGAGGGGTGGGTCAGTTGAGGTCGGTTAGGTTCCCAGTACACTCCCTCAATCTTTCGCGAGGAAGGAGGCGCGGCTTTTATTCCAAGGCTACTTGAAGAACCTAGGCTATGCTGGTCGCGCTGCAGAGGAAGGTGAGGACTCGTACAACATGCGCCTTAGGGATACTTAGAAATAATTTTTAAATTTTGGGTACTTCAATTCCTAAGAAACAGTAAAAAACATAGTTTCTGCTAGGGTTCCAAGTTCAGTCCAGGCACGGCGAAGAGTGCGCAGAACAGCTGCTGCTGGACTTCCGCGACTTTGCGAGTCGGAAGCGGGCGGCTGCACAAGGCTGCGGTGATGGTTTTGCATATTACCTCTGGGGCGTGGCGCTGCGAAGAGCAGAGGACAAGGGGCCGAGCACTGGAGGAGATTTTGAGGGCTTCAACTTCGGACCTGCTGTAGACGACGACTTGGCAGAAGAGCGCTGCTGGCAACACCTGAACCAACTGCAGAAAGTTGCACAATGGGGCCGCTTCCGGCAAGCACAGATTTTCGTAGGCTGCGCCAATGCATTGACGCCGTGCCACTACGACCTGGTTCACAATGCGTACGTTCAAGTGAGGGGTTGGAAGCGGTTCCTCCTCATTGATCCCTGTTTCTCACCCAACCTGTACGCCTACCCACAGGGCCACCCCATGGACCGATGTGCGCAAGCAGATCTCGAAAGTCCAGACTTTCAGCTCTTCCCCAGGCTCAAGGGAGTACGGGCACTTGAAGCAGTCCTTGGCCCGGGGGACTTGCTTGTGCTGCCTGCAGGCTGGTGGCATCACGTGCAGTCCTTGACAGAAGACTCGCTGTCCGTGAGCTTCTGGTTCGACCACGAGGCTCAAGCTGTACCTCAACCGAGACTTCTGACCTCCTTTCAGCGAGTACAGCTCGCGCGCGACGCGGAGCGCGTGCTGCTTGTAGTCCTGGGCACACCCAGGCTGCGCGCCGCCCTGGGCACGCTGCGGGGCATGCTGGGAGAAGGCGAGGCCGGCGAGGCCATCTCCCAGAAGCAGCAAAGCTCGGAGGAGGTCCTGACTTGCGCATGGCTGCTGTGGCGCCTCTTGGCAGCCCAGTGGTGCCCTTGACCATTTTTTTTTTTTTGGGGGGGGGTTTCTGGGGCTCCCTTATAAAATAGCCCAACCCCAAAAAAGGGTGCCCTTATGAGAATATGGCTACGGGGCTACCAAGGCCTGCGCTGCAGCCTGGGAAGTGGTGAGGTGGCCAGAAGCTTCGTGCTGGCGATGGCCTCCGATGCGCGCACGAGCCGCCTAGAGCTGAAAAAGGCTGTCCCGGAGCGCTGCCCCGTGAACTCCTTGCGGTCCTTGCACGAAGGTTGACCCCTAAACCCTATGAACCCTAAACCCGCTCAGGTTCCTGATCTTCATCCACACCATGGAGCTACAGGTGGTAGCTTGGGCAGAACCAGGTAGGGTTTAGGTCTAGGGTTTAAGGTTACTAGGTAGGCCCTTGGGATATGCTTTTCTTTTTCCCCTTGTGTTGGGTTTAAAGAGGGTCGTATGTACGAACATCCTTCCGAGGGTTCTACGGGGCCAACCTAGAGAACGTGCGAGCCGTACTGTTCGTGCATACGACAACAAGAGCATGTTCTATTGAGAGGCCTACTTGGCCAATCGGATCCGGTTCGCGATAACAAGAGGCTTTGACCCGACTGACATGGTCTTTACAGCATTTTCGGCTATTGCATGTGATAAACGCCTCAGCTTGGAGCGATGTTTAAAGGTTTTCACCTTTATGAGGTTCGAAACTGCTCATGAGTTGTCGATGTCGTATGTGTCTGGAGATAGAGATTACTGTTTTTCCCTTAATCCCCTAGTGGTGCCTTGAAGAATCCTATAGACGGCGGCTGGCGGCCGCAGGTACCTTATTTGTACTTCTTAGATGCAAGGGACACGTCGGGAGATTGTTAGAATCACAAAGTTTAGGGTTTAGGGTATAGGGTTTCTGGCAGCAAGGAGTCCAGTTGCAAAAAATGGTTTAGGGTTTACGATGTAGGGTTTAGGGTTTAGGGACTCAGCTATACCATTTTGGAGAAATACAGCGACATGTCCATACATATAAGGGTTTACTGCCACACGTGCATGAAGATGTCGGCTCTAAGATCGACCGGTGCAAAGGTCGAAGCTTGCCAATCCACCGAAAGGCCCACAGTTGAAAGAATCTAAACTTTTAAACCCTAAACGGCATTAAGTCTGCAAATGTTTAAGGCTTCGAACTTTGGACACTGGTTCTGCACGTCTGGTTGCATCTTACCGGCACAAATCGTACATTAGGTCATGCGCGTAGGAATTGCAGTGCCAAGATGGCCTCACGCGGACATTTCGTGGCTTCCTTAGAGAATCCCAAGCTCCAAAAAGCCAGCAATTCAAAACTCCCAAGATCATGGAACTTTGGAGTTTTGGAATGTTGGGGATGGAATGGTTGTAATTTCTTCAGTGTTTTTGAGAAATCCCAAACTTCAAAATTCCACAAGCTTGTGGCTTAGACCCTCCAAATCCCAAACACAAAAAAATCCAAAAGCTCCAAAAGCATGGAAGGCAACCTGCAGCGTGAGTCCTCCCCGGAACCCACTGCCTTCAAATCTGCCCAAAAACTTCCTGGCTCTTAGTAGGACAAGAGGTACCTTATCGACTCCCTTAAAGGGTTTTTCGCGGGGGGATATGAGGTGCTCTAATTCCCTCATTCCCATGAAGAGCCAAGAGCCATTAACAACTCTTCCTGTTTACCCTAATGAAGCCCTAAACCCTAAACCCTAAACCCTAAACCCTAAACCCTAAACCCTAAACCCTTGGGGTTTAGGGGGCTCCAGATCAGGACACTCTCGTGCAACTCTCGGACCTTCTCTCGGTGGCGAAGTACTTCGTCACCCCTGTGGCCTGGGAAAGTTTAGGGTTTGCTTGAAGGTCCATGCGTTTTTGGAAGTGGGGGGAAAAGGTAGGCTGACTGGATTTAGGGTACTCATATTTCATAATCTTCGCTACGAATGAACCTTCTAGTAGGGCTTAGTATTTAGGGTTTAAGGTCTATGTGCTGCAGAAATGTTCCTGGAGACAAACGCATCCTCCCTCCGAAGTATCTCCGATGATTGTTATCTGATTCCTGAGCCCTGCAACCCCTCTCTTTCGCACGTGGAGGTCGACCTAACTTGTGGGCCTTCCTCTTGGATGCTTAGGGATTTAGGGCTTTAGGGTTTAGGGCTTAGGGTTTAGGGTTTAGGGTTTAGATCTGAGAAAGTTTGGGGTGGCAAAAACAGGGCCTATGATTTAGAGAAAGCCTCTGATGTTGGGTCGTCAGTCTCCCTCACACAGCAGAATTCAAGGAGTCGTTGCGGCTGCATATCAGGTCCTTGTGAAGGACTCAGTATAACAGTTGAGCACATGTACTATTGACAGAGCCAGGAAAGTCAAACAAGGGAGAACACAAAAAATGACTCCGGGCACATGGCGATATATAATAAGTACGCAATGAAAGTAAACGCACGCGTACTTGTGCAAGCAGCCACCCTGCTCGCATCCTCACACACGTGCACCAAGTGCCAAGGACCTGATTGCCAAGTGTGAGGAGTCTCTACACAAGGCCAGTCACAGCCTTCTGGGTTTTGAGAACCGTGCGGGCTTGTGTCGCAACCTCTAAGCCATCGGGTTCCGGCGACCGCGTCCTCAAGAGATGAATCTGGCAAGCTTAGGCAGTCTGGGGGATTAGGGAACCTGGGGGGGGGGGGGGGGTAGGTCCAAACCCCCCCCCCCCCCAAAAAAAAAAAAAAAAAAAGAAAGAAAGAAAAGAAAACACAAAACCTAAACCCCCAAACGCCCCAGCCGAAAATTATCCTAAGCCCTCTCCCTCTAAGAGTCCCCCTATGAAACTTGGTGCCCCCCCCCCCCCGCAACGTGGAGCACCCGGGTTTAGGGTTTAAGGGTTTTAGGGTTTGAGGTTTAGGGTGCGTCGGGAAGGGGCTAACCAAAGGTTGACAAGGGTATCGCGGACTGTACTGGGGGTTTGACCTAAATTATATGAGGCCGCGTCCTTTCTGAATTCCAGGCATCTTAAAAACGAAAGACCCCAGCAAAGCCTTCGTAATTTAGGTCAACCTTCACTTCGTGGCACATCTTGGCGTCTGTGTGCGGGTCAATGCATTTTGGACAGTGACTCTCGATGGTAATGCCCACCAGAGTCGATCTTGGCTTTGTCTCTAAAGCCATGTGTGCAATTTGGGGTTGACGCCACTAAACCCTAAATCCTCGATCCTGGGGTTTCAAGCTTAGGATTTAGGGGCCGAGCCTCCGCAGTCCTGGTTTATTTGAAAAAAGGGACCTGGAATGTTTGTCTCTCCAGCACGGCTCCCAGGGAAAGGCCGAGACGGATTCTTGCACACCACGATGCTTCATGAAAAGCAGCCCAAACATGCTATCTACAGCACACTTGAAATTTTCAAACAACTCCGAGACCTTCGTGCAAACGCGCATCGCTGTTTACGGCCAGGTAGAGATCGTTCCCGCAAATTGTGTGGCTTGGACAGAGTTAGTGTTTAGGGATCCAGAGCCCTATAGACCCTGCATGGCCAGTTCTGCAGATGATGGTCCCCTTTTGGGGGGCCGCCGAAATGCAAGAGGCTATAGTCTAAGAGGGGCCCTAAATCGGGACCATCATGTAACTACGTGGTTTAGGGACGTTTAGGGTCCAGCAGGCGAGGTTTAGGGTTAGAAAGGTTTAGGGAGGGTGATCACCTTAAAGTGACCATAATTCAGAGAAGTGAACAGCGAGACGAAATTCGGGTTCACAATGTGAGTTACTTGCTGGATTTGATTCCAGTGCATGGAGCACTCTTCAAGCCACCGTTGGAAAAATAGCCCTGCAGAACTAGTCCTAAACCCTGAAGAATATGCTCCCTCCAACCCAGCTCGTCTCAGTTGAGAGTCCGACCTCTGCAAGTCTTCATGAAAAAAAACCGAAATGGTGTATGGGTTGGGTCCTTTTTTTCTTCTCCGTGGGGCAGACGACATGGGTTGTGAGGGCTATAGTACCTTGTTCCCAATTCCTGCTTCAGAAGCCATACACCTACCCAAATCCCCCAACCCTAAACCTCAAAACCCCTAAAGCCCCCTAAACCCCGAAAGCCACCTACACCCTAAACCGCTAAAGCCCCCTAAACCCCTACAGCGCCCCAAACCCTAAGCCAACCCAGCTAGGCGGCGACGCAAAGCTGTCAGGGGGGCAGACGAGGAGCCCCCCCTCCCTCCCCCATGCTGCGGGGAGCCTCATGGGCCCTTAAAATGGTCCCTTAACTTCAGATGGATGTATGAGCCCTTAACAATTTGTATAGGGTATATAAGGGGCACATAAGGGGTCCCCGTTTAAGGGCCCATACTAAGGGACCACGTAACTACCCTGGCACAAACCTAAACCCTAATACCTGAACCCTAAACCCCAAGCCCTATTAGAGCTGCTCCTTGCCATCTCAGGTGGAGATGATCCACGTGTGCGTGAAGCACCGGCTGCCACCTGGTTGCAACCCGAAACCCCAAAGCCCTAAACCCGAAACCCTAAACGCTAAACCCTAAACCCGAAACCCTAAACCACAAACCCTGGACCCCAAACCCTAAGCAGCAAAAACCCCAAGCCCCAAGCCCTAACCCCTAAACCAAGAGGGTATGCCCTCGGGCAGGTCAGCGAGCCCGCCGGTTGATAACAAGGGTTTGTAGGATCCAAGCCGCACCCCCCTAGAATCTTCTCAGCCTGCAGCCTCAATGTGGCGGTTAGGGTCTTGCGTTTCGGATTTGGCATTTAGGGTTTTGTGTTTAGGGATGCACTTTTCTCGGGCATTTTGGGGTCAGATTCGGGGTATCCATACTGGGCACACCCGAAACCCTAAACCCTGAGCTCTAAGCCCTAAGCCCTAAATGCCACGACTCCCAGGCCATCGACATGACCACGGCAGCCCAACCCTCAACCTAAAGTCAAGCCTGAGACATCCCTAGACCCTGGGTTTAGGGTTTAGAGTTTAGGGTTTAGGGTTTCAGGGTTAGGTTTAACCGTTTAGGGTTACCTTCAGTCCAGTGGCAAAGGGGTAGCCCTAAACCCGAAACCCTAAACCCGAAACCTGCCTTGTGGTTCGGCCAGCTATGCGGGAAGTGAAGAAAGGCAACCCGAACCCCTTGAAAGCCCGCTACTATTTGCTTAAGACCCCCAAAGGAATCAAAAATCAATAATCCCTATAAAAAAAACGTTAATAGGGAAGAAGATGTTTATGTTTTTTCGGGGTTCTTAAGCAATTAGCAGCCCGTGGCGAAGGTCAGAGCAGCTCAAGAAGGCCTGGAGCGTCCTCGGCGGCAAAGCCGACGAATGCCTCGCCGACCCTTGGCTTTGGGGCTTGGGGTTCAGACCTGGTGTTTTGTGCGGTTTCGGTGGGGGGGGGGGAGGGGGAGGGGGTGGGAGGGGGAAGGGGGGGGGGGAGGGGGGAGGGGGGGAGGGGGGAGGGGGGGGGAGGGGGAGGGGGGGAGGGGGAGGGGGGGGAGGGGGGGGGGGAGGGGGGAGGGGGAGGGGGGAGGGGGAGGGGGGGCTGACTGCTGGAAGTAGGCTGAAGACTTGGCAGAGATGGAAGGTGGGTTTGTAGCCGAGACAGTGGAGTGCGCCTGCGTCTTGCCCTTGAGCTGAACCTCACCTCCGCAGTTTTGCATGCGTAGCGTGGCGTTGGGTCTGAGAGGTTATGGTTTCAGGTTTCATGCTCTGGGTATTGTTGCACTTGTCAAACGTGAAGAAGCGGGAACTTCTCATCGCCTGCAATGGCGCTGCAACCGTTCTCTGCGCCTCAGGGCGGCGTGCAGCCTCCCGTGCTGACGAATAAGATGTTGAAGAGACTGCCGGACTTCTTGAAGACGTACAATCAGTGCTCAAAACTCGCTGGGGATACGCAGAGTGAACGCATCGAAAATGTCCTGCAGAGGGAGTACGGGCAACTATTCTATGCCAGCGACAGGCACTATCTCAGCAATGAGAGCAGCAACCTTTCGCCAGACCAGCTGTTTTCCGCGGTGAAGAAGCTTCAGTCAGGGCAAAAAGCTACCGACGTCTTGGAAGGCGCTTTTGCAGTTGCATTCGCCTTGATGCAACGCTCCACAACAGTTTACCAACTCCGACAAAAGGCCACCGGCAGTGCCGATGAGGTGGAATTTGGCACGGCTCAGGCCATATTGCTGCAGATTGCAGCATGTTTGTCCGGCCCGAGGCTGGGCCGTGGCAGCTGGCGCCTGGATGAACACAGGGTCATCTGCATTGTGCCATGGGGGCCGCGCCTGCTTGCTGTTCCGCTCTACTTTGGTGAGCACAGCATGCAAGTTCAGAGCCGTCCGACTATGTGATATTCCCGAAGCCTGACCCAACATTCTACCGACCTACGATTTCAGTGACAACCGTCATTGATGCCGGTGGCGGGAATGAGTTCGTTTGCGAGGGTGCTCACATCATAGTTTCATGCGTGCAACCGCACATAGACTTGAGAACCGGGGCTCCCTTGGCGCCAGCAGTTTTGGCGGCACAGTGTTTGGGATACTTCATCCCAGCTCCAACTCCTGCAGAAGTAGAGCGCTACCTTGCCGCAGCGCAGCGCATGCAGCCAGTGATTTTCCTGCGCAAGAACTTGGGTTTGACGCATCCTGACCTGCCTTTCCACGAATCTGGTAATACGGTATTCTTGGACGAGGAAAGGGATGTGGCCCAGGTATTGCAGATAGCAGACCAAGTCCCGTGCGGACTTAGCACACACTTCCTGGATTTTCAAACGGGCATGATTCCCTTCACCTTCCCGCCTCCTTTAGACGACTGGGATTGCCGCATCCAGCAATCCATGATGGAATTAGGAGCCCCCTTCCATGATCAGGCTGAGGCTACCTGCTACTTTTGCGACAAGCTAGAGGAGGCTTCCGTAGACCTTGCAGAGCTGACTACCAATGCAGTTCAGGAGTTCGATGTCGAAGTCGAGGACGACATCATCGCACACGCAAGGCGCCTCGCGAGAGATGCCCTCCTTTGCCTCCAGCAGCACCATGTCGCGGTGCGATGGGTGTCAGAAATACTACAGCAGACAGTGGAGCAGGCAGCCTACCAGATCCGAATCAAACAGGAGCAGGAGCAGATCAGTAGGCGTTGGGATTCTGTCCAGTCGAAGAATCGGTTTTCTGCAAAGCGTGAGAGGCAAAAGTGTCGTCAGAAGACGTGTGAAGAGTCCAAGTCTCAGCCGGAGCAAGAGACAGCTGTCCAGCGCATCCGGAACATCTTGAACGACTTTAGCAACAAAGTCTTCAAGTATCAGCACTACCGGAAAGCATTCCATGCACTGCAGTCCACAGGCCTAATGGACCACTTCGGCTCTGAAATGGTCCGTGGTTCCCATCACGTTCTTCATGGGAGCAGTGTAAACAGTGTGACAGTTGTAGTGCCGCACGGAGCTTCTTCCGAGCATAGCCGGCATCGATTTGCAAGGAGCCTCATGAGCATTGCCGGAGCGCCAGGCATGAGGCCCTGATGCATGCACGGCCGTGAAGCTGGCAAGCAAGAGAACATGGGGCACAAGAAGCGCAGCATGTGATGACCCTTAAACCCGAACCCTAAACCACCCTAGACTTTAAACCCCAAACCCCCTAACTGGGCCCCTAACCCTCTAAACCTGCAAACCCCTAAACCCTAAACCCCCTAAACCCCAAAACCTTGTCGACAAGTCGCTCCCCCCCCCCCCCCCCCCCGGCTTCCGAATCCCTCACGATGCTGAAGCTGTCAGGGTGTCAGGGCCTCGGAGGTCGGTACTCTGAGCCTCCAGCACAGCTATCGTGATAATCATGATGGCAGGAATTCTGAGAATGATGACAATAAGGATAACAATGATAAATAATAGTGGTAGTCGTAATACTAATAATGCTAATCAGAATACCAATAATGCTAATTTTAATGATAATGATAATATTAATAGCAATCATTATGTCCATCCCTGGGGCCCTTCGAGCCCAAGACCTGTTGCTCAGGTTGGCCTGAATTTATTTGGGACTTGTGTGCCTGTAGGCTTCGGGGCGTGGGGTTTAGGGTGAAGGTGTGCATGTGCCTTTCGCCAACCTCGGTATGTTAGATCTTAGCTCGGCTATCCTGATGGACTGATAGATCACAGGCTGAGCTTGTGGATTCAAATCAAGCTTGCTGAGGCGCATGATTCGAGCGTAGGCATGGACACCCGTAAGCCTTAAAGAGTTTACTCTGAAACCCTAAACTGCTCCTTGTTGAGCCCCACACTGTACGCCATAGACGCCCCAAAACACGAGCCGGAAACCATCATAGACCTCCGCCCCAAACATCCTGAAACAATTAATGAATACCTGCCTGGTGCGTTTAGGCCCTCCCTAAACCCTAAACCCTTGAGTCAGATACCCGAAGCCCTAAATCCTAAAGCCTGCCCGGTGCAAATCAGCTACCCTGAACCCTAAACCCGAATCCCCACAATCTGGGGGTGAGCAGGATCACGATTTCCCGGTGTCCCCAAGCACCCGAAAGCAAAGGATCCCGCTGCGGCTGCGCGCCTTCTTCCCTACACGCTGTACCGCTGGCAGCGCTTAGAGTGGGTTTAGGGACGGTTTAGGGTTGAGGGTTTAGGTTTTAGCATCTAGTAGGGTTTAGGTAGGTTTTGGGGAAACAAGGGTTTAGCGTTTGGGGACTACATGAAGGTTCATGGGATATAGTGATGAGTAGGGTTATAAGTACCCTACATAAGGTGATAGCCAGCTCTAACTATTAGTTGCCCTACTTACAACCCTCCTTACAAATACCCATGAACCTTCGATTGGAAGGGATACATGGAATACGGTGCCTCGGTTGCCCCGAGACTTCAAATATTCCAGTGCCCTTCCGTTGGGTACAGGCCCCCTAAACCCTGAACCCTAGACCTGTGTGCCTGCGAAACGGGTGGGAAAAAACCCCTGTGTGCCTGTGGCCCGAAGCGATGGGCACAGTGCAAGCAGCTAAGGTTGAAGCACCTCTTCATGCTGCTTTGATGGCAATTTGTTGGAGAGTTCTCTAAATTAGGACCCCTTCTTGGGTCCCTATATTAGTATGGCACCCTTGGAAATCAGGGCCCCCAACAAAGACTACTAATCTAGAGCACTGCCCCGTTGAACGACGGGTGCACGATTCGACGTTCAGGGTTTGAGGTAACCGGGCGAGGTGGCCGCAGCTGTTGCCTTTGAAGTTGCGAGCTTGGCTGAAACCAGGCAGGTTTCTCACAGGTCCGAGTAAAAAGCGGGAACGTGATGTTGGGAAGAAGAGCGGAGCAGCTTCGTAGTTCGCATCTTCAGACTTGTCTTAGGGCAGTTTCATGGGTCCCTTAATTTGGGGCACCCGTATATAGGGTAAAAACCCAAGGGCTCATACTTCAGAATTTGGAAAAAACACGAGGGATACAAGGAGAAACCCCTAGAAGGGACCCTTAATCTTTATTAGCCCTGCATATACCTTATATATCCTATATAGTCCCTATATACCGAAGCAGCCCTTGTAAGGGTCCCTCCCTTGATTCAGGTCGAGCGTGTCCAACGTCTCAGAGGTGACTCTGGCCCGGAGCTGAGCAGAAGACGTTTAGGGTTTAGGTTACCCGCAATGTCTGCGAAGCAGGGTTTGGGGTTCAGGGTTTAACAAAAGTAAAGGGTGTAGGTTTAGGTTGTAGGAACGCTAAACTCCAATCCTCGACACCATACTTGTAGCTACCCGGTACCATGAACCATCAAAGCAATTCTTTCTCTCTCTCTTTCTCTCTCACTCTCACTCTCGCTCTCTCTCTTTTTGAGGTCCGCCTGCTTCTGGCACTGGGAGAGAAGGAGACACTGGGGTGGGGTTTGGGGAATCTGGGTTTAAGCTTCTTTCAGAGCTCTTTGCCTTCGTGCGTGAATGCAGGTCTTCGAGCTGAAAAACACAAGTGCATCTCGTACCGTGTATTGAGAGAGTGTGCTGCAGCGACAAATGTCTGGACTGCAGTCTTGGTGATTTGGTCCAGCATCGGCTCGGTTGCTATATGCATCCCGCCTTCCCTTCGAAACGGCACCTCTGTGATCACACTGCTCAACGTGCCAAAGTGCGGGTAGTATAGATCAACATGGCCTTGACTTTCTTGTGGCTGGCTCTTAAGACTTCAACCTTTTTTGGGGTTTTGTAGAAACTACCATAAGGGGCCTACAAGTCTAAGACTTTAACCCTCTTGGGGTTTTGTAGAAACTACCGTAAGGGGCCTACAAGTCAACCTTGCAGGAGGGGGTTTTCGCGAACGCAATTGCTGGTAGATTGTGGTGCTGAGCCGTGGCACCGGTGGCCTGCGGCCTGTGGCTCTTTAAAATGCACATGCGCCTGGAGGTTCTGGGTAGTTTAGGGTTTAGGGTTTAGGGTTTAGGGTTTAGGGTTTAGGAGTAGGCTGTCTAAGTGGGTAGTTGTAAGTAGGGTGTAGAAGTAGCACAACTCTATTGGTATAACCCTTATTCAGGGTGCTTAGAGCCCTACTCAAAGCTACTCATGAACCTCAGAATTGAGAGTACGGCAGCCTCACCCGCGAGGAGAGGAGCGAGCTCCTTCCTCTTGTGACCGGGCTTTCTTTATTTGTTGTTGTGGCTGCGGTCTGTTTGTGCCTCCCTTTGGACAGAACACAGGACGGCGTCATCCAATTTAATTAGTGGCGTGGGCAGTAGGGAGGGAGGGAGGGAGAGGGAGGGAGGGAGGGAGAGAGAGAGAGCTCCTCAAGCCCAGCAGAAGAAGAAGAACAAAAAGAAGAAGAAGAAGAAGAAGAAGAAGAAGAAGAAGAAGAAGAAGAAGAAGAAGAAGAAGAAGAAGAGGAGAGCGCTTCGGTTTCTTGCCGGCGATACATGCGGTTAGAGACGCACCCACTGGGGCCCACTGAGTGTCCACGGGTCTCTCTGCCGAGAAGGTGCTCCAGAAACTCGAATCAGGCAATCCCGAGCTATTGGGATACTTCTCTAAATTAGGGTCCCTTTTGAGGCACTTACTTTAACTTTAAGGGTGTCGTACTATTTGTAGGACCGACAAAGGGGACCCTAATGTGGAGAACTAAGCATTTCAATGAGGTGCGGCTGCCACTCATTTCGGCCGCTGACATGGTGAACGTCGTCGTTCCATCCGCGCCTCGTCCTGGAGACTTTGGGGTGAGCTTGTTGGGTTTAGGGTTTACTAAACCCTAAACCCTAGACCTTAAACCCTAAAGCAAAAAGGGTTTACTAAACCCTAAACCCTGAAGCAAAAAGGGTTTACAGATGCAGCCGACGCATGCCCAGATCCCGATGCGCCCTGAGCCGGAACCCTGAAAAACGCCCTGAGGCCCGCA